TGATCATTAATAGAATCTGCATTTGTTTTGTACATTTTCCCTCTTTTTCATCGAATTCTTCTTCTTCCCCTCTCTCGAGGCAGCGATCGAGGAACAGGTACGTACCTCTCTTTTGCGTCTCTCTCATTGGATCTGATTCCAATCTTTTGTCTGTTTCGATGTTTACGAGGTGTCCCTCTTCTTCTTCTTCTTCTTCTTCTTCTTCTTCTTCATTCCATCTATTACAATGCTGACGAGATGCCTTGGTTTTTAGTTTTTGTTTTGTCGAACAGGGTTTGTTTCTGTCCTCTGCATATGTCAATGGACGCTTCTATGATCACCCATTGCAAATCCATCGCTTCTCCTCCCGTAAGCAACCCTGTCTCCCTCTCTCTTGCTGCTATTCTCAGTTCAATCTCTCTCCTTTGATCTTTGGCATTTAGCTTCTGCCTTTCGTTGGTTTTCTTATTTGATGCACTGGGTAACATCAGATTGGTAATGGGACTACTCCCCTTACCTGGTTTTTTTATGTTCCGTTGGTTCTTTAGTTCGAACTTGAGAAATTTCTCCTTAATATTTGCTAGTTGCATTGATTATCTTTATGCATCGTCTTAGATTAAGATGCGAAGTTGAGACCCTTTGCCTGAGAAGAGTCTAAGTTTGAATTAGCTTCGGTTCATCGATTGATTATAGGATCTTCTGATATGTAGTTCTGGATGTTCTGTCTTATCTCTAAACGCCCTTTTGATTAGTAAAATTTTGAATGACTTGGATGTTAATGCATTAATGTTTGGATTGGTTCACAGAGTTTTGAGTGTTTCTCATTTTGTTCATTGTAGAAGTCTTAGGATGTATCATTTTTGGGGTTGATTTCTGATTGTTTCCTCGTGTCCTATGTCTGCAAGTGTTTATTTTTGGGGAGGACAGGAGGTATTAGGAGTAACCAGTGTAACTTCATGGTGGGAAGAAAGGTTAGCTTCCCTTGTCAAAGATTCCAAACCGGTAAGGTTAGTCAGAAGGCTAAGAAGACTGGAGGAGGTGGCGTTCTGTCTGCTACATGCAGTGGCGATAAAATTCTGGTGGCTAATAGAGGTGAAATTGCAGTCCGTGTTATCCGAACAGCCCATGAGATGGGGATTCCCTGTGTCGCTGTCTATTCAACCATAGATAAGGATGCCCTTCATGTCAAATTGGCTGATGAAGCAGTTTGCATTGGTGAAGCTCCCAGCAGCCAATCGTAAATTTCTCTCATTTTCTTTAATTGGAACTTCTTTTCATTAATATGCATTCCATCCATGACTTTATAGTGGTGAATCTGCAAGATTAACATTCAATGTATCATCATCATCGTCTTTAAGAATATCCTGTGTTTCCTGTTTATGAATTTTTGTTGTTGACCACTTTACATTTCCATATAGCAATATGGGATTTTATATGTCTCCAATTTATGTGGAAATGACTTGTATCCCTGCAACCGCTTTTTTAGCAGGCTGTTAGTGGGCAGAATATGTTTGAACATCTATTGCCATTCTATATGATATTTGTTAGATTCTTGGTCAGGTTTCAACCCACCACATGGCTGGTGAGCGAATATATAACTCTTACTTTTTAACTATCTTCAGGTACTTGTTGATACCAGATGTTCTGTCCGCTGCTATTAGCCGTGGCTGTACAATGCTTCATCCGGGATATGGGTTCCTTTCAGAGAATGCCCTCTTCGTTGAAATGTGTAGAGAGCATGGAATCAACTTTATTGGACCTAACGTGAGTTTGAACTTTATAGTTCTGATTATAGAATTCATATTTTGAAGTGGGGCGTTGGCGCACCGGTTAAGGTGTCGCCGTTGTAACCTAGAGGTCACAGGTTCGAAACCTGGATGCAGCCTCTTGCAGAATATTCTGCAAGGTAAGGTTTGTCTACAATACACCCTTGTGCATCCCCGGACCCCGCCCAATGGGATGCTTTGTGCACCGAGCTGCCCTTTATAGAATTCATATTTTCCATACTCTAATGAGAAACAGATTCATCTGATGCTTGCCGTAATCCTGAATTGCTCTTCTCTAAAGTTCTTTATTGGGTGAACTTTACTGGATAAGAAAACACTAGTAACCTACCAATTTGTCTTCTTGGCTTTCTGCAGCCTGATAGCATCCGTGTAATGGGTGACAAATCAACTGCCAGGGAGACAATGAAGAATGCTGGTGTGCCAACTGTACCTGGAAGTGATGGATTATTACAGGTATTGTGCAGGATTATCAGTTCAGCATTTGAAGTTGAGTCATCTGGAAGTATCCCTTGCAAATTTTCTGTGTTATGTTTTATTACAGAGCACAGAGGAAGCAGTCAGGCTTGCCAATGAGATTGGATTCCCTGTTATGATCAAGGTAATGTTATCTTCTCTCTATGGCATGTCCTTGAGACGTACTTAGGGTAGTGTTTTTGTTTTGTACTTTTTTTAATGTGACATATAACCTTGCCTCACAGGTAGGAATAAATGTCAACCTTAAAGTATATTACTCCATCTGGCCATTTCGTTTTCTGTTCTTTTGAATAGTGTTTCACTGAGTATTGAAACTCATATCTCTCACCTAAATGCCTTATGATTTCAAGGCAACAGCTGGTGGTGGGGGACGTGGAATGCGTCTTGCTAAGGAGCCAGAGGAGTTTGTGAAGTTGCTTCAGGTATACCCTCATGGCTAGCTGATCCAGAAGTGCCCTTGAATGAATTTCTTTTTTCAAGAATGTGCATCCAGATAGATGCTTGATTAAGGGACTGGTGTCTACTTGGTTATATCCTCCAACATCCAGGAATTTTAGAGACATATAATAAAACATATCATAGAATTTAATTGTCTTTCTTTGTTAACTCAGACATTTAGGACATCCCTGAGTCTCATGATGTGTGCCAAGTATCTAATTTTCCCATGAAAAACTGTATCTTTACGAAAGACTGGGTGCTGTATCCCTCATTAGATATAGTGATGTCAATTGTATCCATCGATTATTTTCGATAAAGATTTGTGAGACATCTAAATGGCCAGATCGAGCTCGTGCTCTCATGTTTTTTCATTAGTCAATCGGCATTACTTTTTCCTCTCTGAGTTTCTCCGGTAAATTTGGTTTAATCTGATGATCTACAGCAAGCCAAGAGCGAGGCTGCTGCTGCTTTTGGAAACGATGGAGTTTATCTAGAGAAGTTTGTCCAGAATCCTAGACACATCGAGTTCCAGGTAAATTTTTAGTGTTGTCTTTAAGTTTTTCTACAGTTTAAGGAAAGAGGATTCTTGTACTGTAAGTGGTTTTGATCCCGATTTTTGGTGTGCCATAATTGTGTCTGGGTTACCTGAAAGCTGTAACCCTATTTCGAGTCTTGACAAGGAAAATATCAAGTCTTCATTCATTTTTTCTTTGCTTGGGAAAGAAGGGGGTCTACCATGTCTGATGTAATCAACTTTGGAGCATGGCTACAATCTTTGAGAGAGAAAGAGAGAATTAGTTTGACCAATTGCTCGTCCGCATTTTTCAAAGTGTGTACTTGGCCTATCATGTGCAGAATCAAGCAGCTTTTTAATCTTTTTGTTGTCGTCTTTTTCTGTGTAATTTCAGGTTCTCTCTGATAAATATGGAAACGTTGTGCATTTTGGTGAGCGCGACTGCAGCATCCAGGTATCATTTCCGCCAAGCTTTCTTCGTTAAACTAGTTGTTGCGTGGTGGTCTGTAATATGCTATTAAATCTCTGGTTGTTTTGTTATATGTTCTCCTGACGCACAGAGGCGCAACCAAAAGCTTTTGGAAGAAGCTCCTTCTCCTGCATTGACCCCTGAGTTGCGGAAAGCCATGGGTGATGCCGCAGTTGCCGCTGCTGCATCTATTGGGTATATCGGTGTTGGTACTGTGGAATTTCTTTTGGACGAGAGAGGTTCCTTCTATTTCATGGAAATGAACACTAGGATTCAGGTTAGATCGAAAGTTACTGCAGCTGTAGAATCTGTTTATAAAGCTATATTTATAGGTATCTGAAGTATTCTGAGTGGCTACAATTTCCTGGGTGTGACCTCAGGTTGAACACCCTGTGACTGAGATGATTTACTCCGTTGATTTGATTGAGGAGCAAATTCGTGTTGCTATGGGAGAAAAACTTCGTTACAAACAGGTATCACTGGTTTGTGAAATCTCTAATGCTTCTTACACAAACCCTCAATCTGTCATAGTTTCTTTACAGGAAGATATTGTGCTCAGAGGACATTCAATTGAATGCCGTATCAATGCAGAAGACCCATTTAAAGGGTTCAGACCTGGCCCTGGTATGCTTCATTGTTGTTTCTCTGCCCTTTGGCCGTTGCTATGTTTCGCTTTTGTAGAATAGGCAAACAAATTCTTCTGCTTTATGTTTATCGGATTTTAATCAAATTATAATGTTGGTATTTTCGGGTTTCCTGCTCTGTATATCCAAATCTTAATGAATATAGAATATTGAACTGCTTTGTTGCCTCTTTCTTTCTTTGTGTTGGCAATTTTTGTTCCTTTTCTGCATTCCGAAATATTGGAGAATAGAATGTTGAACTGTTTGGACTGTCTTCATTCATTTTTTGCATCTTTCTTTTGCTTGATCCATTTACAGATACTCGTAAGCATTTGTTTGTTACTACTTCTTAGCCTAGGTTCGATCCTTTTGCAACTGAATGTTTAGATGTAATATTTCCAAACTGCTACCAAATGACTTTTACTAATAAATCTGTTTTCAATAACAGGGAGAATAACATCATACCTACCATCAGGAGGTCCTTTTGTAAGAATGGACAGTCATGTTTATCCTGACTATGTTGTTCCTCCAAGCTATGACTCCCTTCTCGGAAAGGTAATCATTAAGTTTTCTCTGTTCAGTCACTTTGTATTTGCTAGGTAGATTGGGAACAAGTTTGTGGCAACATGATAGACTAACATCATAAATCACTTTGCGTTATTGGAGTCTTAGACGAAGCTTACATTAGATTTCTGGGTTTTTCTGGAGTTTATGGAATACAATGCAGTGTCTCGCGCTCATCATACATCACAGTAACTTACCAGAACAAATAGCTGATGTTTTGTGTACAGCTATGGAGCCTTTACTGTAAAATTTTCTCTGGTTTTTAGCTTATCGTGTGGGGCCCAACGAGAGAAAAGGCGATTGAGCGGATGAAACGAGCACTTGATGACACTATTATTACAGGTATGTAAACTCTCTTCCCTTCTGTTGTCTGTTCTGTTTTTTTCCTTCTCGTGTTCCTTCTGAAGAGCTTTTTCCCGAAATGATACTTCGGAAGAATCTTTTAGTCTTCCAATATCAGTATGATGATTGTTTCGCTCCAATCGTGTGGTACCTCATTTTACCATATATGTGTGTATATATATATATATATTAAGAATTCTGCAATATAGATAGGATCACCTAAGGACGTATTCTGTATCCAGTTTATGAGTATACAGAAGAGTTCTTGGGTATCCAATACTTGAGAGTGTGAAATCGGGTGGGATATATTTATCAATCTTTGTGTTATTGTTCATCAGGTGTTCCCACGACAATCGACTACCACAAACTTATCCTTGATGTCGAGGTTTGTCAAACAGATAGCCACGTTCTTGAGCGATTTTTGTTTTTTGGTCGTGAAATCGTTGGATAAGGCTAAAAATTTCGTTGTTGGTAACAGGATTTCAGAAAAGGAGTAGTTGATACAGCTTTCATAGTGAAGCACGAAGAAGAGTTAGCCGCTGTAAGTACCTAATATGACTCCAATGTTATCGTTTTCGGATCGGGCTTTTTAACATATCACGGAAACAGAAGTCATGATATCCAAACAGTGAAAGTGGAATCTGGTGATTAGATACAGGGGTGGACACCGGAACCCGAAATTTCGACCACTGCCCGACCTGTGAGTGGGTACTCGAAATTTCAGGTACTTGTCCGGCAGGACGGTTATGGGTCCGTTGATGGCGAGAACCTGACTCAGGTTCGAATTCGGATTTCGATCGGCGATTATCCATACTCGCGGGTTACGTGAACCACGGAGGAGAGGGAGAAGGAGAGGGTGAGGACCAGGGGGCGTAAAGGCGAGAGGGTTGAGGGGTAGTGAGGAAATGGTGTCTGAGGCTGAGAGTTTTGTGAGAAGGATGTGGGCGAGAAGAAAGGGCGATTAGTTTTTTTTTTTAATAAATAAATCAGTTTGGGGTAATAAGGATTCCGCGAGAGGGATAATGGCAAGCGGCGATTAGGGATATCGGTTGCCTCGTCTTGCCGCTCGCTCGCTCCTCGGACTAGGCCATGTATGTCTCTCTTTCCTTGCCCTCCACACCCGTTTACCCCCCTCGCACTTGCCCTCGCCGGTCTGGATATCCGAATAATCACCACGCCTGCGGGTACCCGACCATTAAGAAACCGAGATCGGGGGCGAGGCCGATGCATGATACACCGGAAAACACGGATAACCGACTCGGGTCCACCCCGAAGTAGTCTGAATTCGAAAGCCAATGATGTTGGCATGAAACCTATGATGGTGTCATCGTCACTTGATGTTTGTTTCATTGCGATCATACTTACCATTTGGCATATGCAGCCTCAAGATATGGTGCCAGTGAAAAACTTGACGAACGCAACCGCTTAGAAGCACGACGACGTGACGGAGATCTCTGTCCTCCTCTCTTTGGAGCATGTACGGACGTCTCTATATAGTTTTTGAGTTAACTTTGTCGGATTTTTTTTGGTGGATTTCTGATTTATTTTCGAGGACAAAACCATTATTATGAGATTTCTCATTGGAATTTGGAGTTACTGTAATTTTATTTATTTATTTATTTAATAATACGAGTCTTTGTTTTCTGCTTCTTGAATGTGAACCTTTTTCATGCATTAATGCTTCATCGACTGGCCAAGATCCGAATCCAAAGATCGGGTTCTCATCGCCCAAATCTCGAAATTGATACTCGTCCCGTAATCAAATTTTGAAGATTGGATTCGATTCCTCAAAAGTTGGATGTTTGTGATGTGACCATTTGTTTTTTTACATCGAAATCGAATTTGACTTGGATACAATTATATCTTTTAAAGTTAGATCGTATCGGCTACTCCGTTAATACTAATAAAAAACGAATATAAATTGAATCGAATAATATCAAAATAAAACTGAACCGAATCAAATTTGGTATAAAAACTGAATGGTTCAATCATTGAAATAACCAAACTGAATCCAAATCGAGATGTGAAATGATCACCTAGCCTAGTGGTTAAGTTGTTTCTCTCTACCTGGTTTGACTCTCTTTTGGTAGTGGGTGGAAAGACCATACCATACCATACCATACCGAATGAATTAAATCTGAATGAATAGAAAAACCAAATAGATAACCGAATTTTCTATTGTAATTTTATTCGAATCAAAAGCCGAAAATTGCTACTAGGGAATGATTATTGCTTTTTATTCAAACCTAATTAAACCGTGAATGACGGTATTCTGGTTTCATTTCGTTAGAATTTTCCCCAGACCAATTGAATACCGAACCGGTAACGGAGTTAAACCGAACTGTATACCGTACCGAATGCATTTCCGCGTTCTTCCTTTTCCATCCCATTGTTGCTGGCTACTGGTAACTACAATGGCGTGGTTGTAGAGTTTTTACCCGTAACGACTACCGTACGAGGATCATTCTTTGGCAGGAGATGCGTGGAGTGATCGGCATTCTCGTAGTCGCACTCGGAAACGCGTTCAATTGGTTTTGAATTCAGGTGAACATTCTCTTACTGCATCTGTTGACTAAGAAATCCTCCATGATTATCGCTTATCGCCGGCTTCAATGGTGGATTAAACACTTCCCGGTTCATGCACTGTGTGTGGGTTAAGCTTGATGCTTCAATGGGATTACTTGACCACGAATGTTGTGTTTTTCTTCTTCATCGTTATGGAACGAGATATTATATTAAACGGTGTTTCCTGAATTTTGAATCTAGGGTTAAAAAATTACTTGGCTTGAATTGGTTCTCAGTTTCTGTTTCCATGTTTGTTTTTTAGTTTGAACTCTGTAAGTATCTTCCACGGTGTTCATAATATTTTTCACATTTCATTGAGAAAGTTTCTTAATTCTTCATTGTAGTGAGTTTCTTCAGCCCAGATGATGGTGCAGTGAGCATAGGCTATAGGATTAGGGCTCAGTGATTTTGACTCTTGATAGATAACATTTTAGGTGATATTCGTGTTGAGACGATTTTGGATTTGCTGAATGGGGTCTGTGGTTTTCATCTGTGTTAGCTTAAGTTCTCTGGTTAATGCAAAAGGATGAGATGAAGTCTTTTAAAAGGAGTTATCGGGCAAAAATACTTTTCATCGACTTTTACGAGCCCTTAATCCTTCTAAAGTTTATTGATATGGAGACTTCAAAATATTGTGTGGGACTTACATCTTCCTTAACCTGAAGCTGCCATTTTTTATGCCTTGATTCTGATTGATTTTTTTTATAGACCACAGTGTATCCTTGAAGATTTGATATCACTTTCATCCCAGCGTAGGATTCTCTGCTAGTAATATTGTGTAACGTGTATACAATCTGGCCTCGATTTGAGTGCTTTTGTTTCCTGTTTAACAATCTAATCTAACCTCATTGTGTTGTTGTTCTAGCAATGACATGGACATTAAGCGGTCTTCAAATGTTGTTGGAACCTTGGTTTGAAGGTGGGCAAGTTGTTTTGCGTGTTGTGGGTGACACCTGACTTGAGTTCATGACATATGAAGCAACAAGATGGTTAGATGAAATGGTTGCTAGTAGATGGTATTAAAGATTTTGCGTTGTTCAGAAGCAATTTTATAGATAGATTTTACAGACTCAATTATTGGTGGAAATAATTACCTAACTTTGTTTGGCTACTCAATCATATCTTTTTTACAAAATCAATGATAGATGGTGAAGACACTACATGTGTTTACAGAGGTGATTATGCTAGATTCCAGTTGACGTTGTTATGCTGAAGCAAAAGTTGAAGAAGCATTTTTGTTAGGGGTCTTCTCGATATAGCTGAAGCAAAAGTTGCCTATCCGTTAGATATTTATGTCACGACTGCAGATCTGGTTTTGCCTTGCTCCCTTGATTTGTTTGCTCCATGGCTTGTTTATCTAATATGGCTTTCTTCCTTACCATCTTAATTATGTGCTTCCTCCGCTGGATGGCATGCTGGCATGGCTCTTTGCGCTCTCATATCCATATTGTAGCTGCACATCACTCAATAGCTCCTGAGGATTGAAAAAATGTTAGGGATGTAGTTTAGTAAGTAGTAACTGTGAAATGTTTCGATATTTTAGGAAATTCCTTTTACAGTATATGTTTTGAAGTGAAAAGGTGCTTTGCTGATTTATACTTGGGAGGAAGCCATGGATGTTTGGCTGTTCGTCTGGCTGTTATTCCGGCTGCTGTTGGATGAATGCCGTTCACTTCCTCCAAATGTGAGAGGCATGTTTTCTTCAGCTAGAGCTCTCAGCCTGTTAAGCTCTGGCAATACGACCTTACCTAGGTCGGGTCTGTCCTTTCGCCTTAGTTCTGAACATTGTAGAGCCAGTTTTGCAAATACCAGGGCCTCTTCCACAGGCCAGTCAGGAACAGCAGGGTCTAGCATCTCAGCGAAAGTTCCCTTCTCAATTGATCTCTCGACATAATGAGTCAAACCCATGGGTGGCTTGGCTGTGATTATTTGCAAAAGCATAATCCCGAGTGAGTATATGTCTGATTTGGTCCCCAACATTCCAGTTTGCTGATATTCTGGATCTATATAACAGAATGTTCCGGCAGTTGCCGTCATTCTATACTGAGTCATGGTGTCCGCTACTGATGGAGGGACGAGCCTCGCCAACCCGACATCGGAAATTTTGCTAATGAAGTTCTTGTCGAGTAAAATGTTGCCTGGTTTCAGGTCACGGTGCACCAGTGGCTCTGGTTTCGTCTGGTGAAGGAAAAGAAGACCGGTGGCAATTTCAGCCGCTATGCGGAATCTTAGTTGCCAAGGAAGAACTGGAGTGTTGCTTCGTCGTGAAAGACGATCGTCTAAGCTACCATTGGCCATGTATTCATAGACTAGACAGCCATATTCTGGGCAGGCTCCAACAAGGAGAACCATGTTTGGATGTCTCATGCAGGTCAGTACTTCTACCTCTTGCTGGAACTGTGATCTTCCTTGTGCTGCGTCTGGTCGTAACACTTTTATTGCCACTGGTGTATGATCTAGAGTGCCTTTGTAAACAGGTCCATAGCCTCCTTCTCCAATCTTGCGAGAATCCGAGAAGTTTTCTGTGGCTTGCTCAATCTCCTCGATTGTGTATTTCCTAAACCTCACATCGTCTTGGATTAAAGCACTCAATACCTTTTTCTTCTCCTCTGCTTCTCTGAGGGCTGTTATTTCTGCTTGCTTTCTCTTCTGAGCTTCAAGTTCTGTGATTCTCTGAGCTGCTGCAGCAGCCTCTATGGCTGGCCTGCCCTTTT